AACACGAACCTAGATCTAAAAGCCCACAAGCCCAGCAAACCTCTAGCACGGAGACACGGATGTTGATACCCCGACCAATACCTTCAAAGGAGTCGGCAACTGTCCCAATAAAAAAACCTCAGAGAAAACCACCGCCAACCCGAGCCCATAGCCAGAAAGGGAGGGCAAGTCGGTGAAATCTACCATCGCTGGCACCTACTCATGTCTGCAAGCGGAAGGGAAGACTGCTTCTACTTTCTTACTCTTGGGATTGTTACGTGTTTTGACTGTACATCTCTATACATCAAAACAAAACGTGACCAAGTTTCGAACATCTTAGATCCAAAGAACAACGGGCTATTACTCATTGGCTGTGCACGACAATTTTAGTCAAAACAAATAAAAACATGAAATACAATAAATAGATTAAACAAAAATTATATATAAACAGGCAAGAGGGACGAGAAGATGCTGCCTTCCTGAGCAACTGGACCGAATATCCTTCCATCCCGATATATGATAATGCACACAAGGTCACAAATACAACCACACAATTTAAAAATAAAATACAGGGGGAAATAAAAAAACATAGGGACAAAAAAAAAGTTGAAAAATAAGGAAGAAACGCGACGTTTACTTCTAAACATTAGTCGTATCATTTCAAACCAAGGGCAAAGGACAATTTGGGACGGGATTTATTCTTGCCAAGAAGCTTCATCTGGTTAGCACGTTCTTCCTCCTCTTGCTGTTTTTTCCTTCTGAGGGCCTCTTCTTTCTGTCTTTGCCGCTCTTCTAATTCCCTGTAGCGTTCTTCCTCTCGTCTTTGCTGCTCCAGAGCTTCTCGTCTCTGGGCTTCCTCCACTTTCCGCTTGTTCTCATCTAACATCCTTTCCAGCTCCTCTTTCTCTCTCTGTGCTTGTTCCTGTGCGTGTTTGTAGAATAAGACGTTAAATGAGCTCACACCACAAGTGAAGTGAAACCCGAGCATTTGAGTAATATATGACAGATTAGAAAACAAGAAATTAAAGAAAAAAAAAATAGATTTCAAAAAACGAACAGCTGTAAGAGTCGAATAACTACAAGGATGATCCTTCAGGTTCACCCAGAAAAAAATTTTAAAAAAAAAAAAGGCCAGAGCATAGACTCCAAAGCTTTGAAAAAAATAAAAAGAGAAACAACAAGGGCAACATTGATGGATTGTTGGAGGCCAATGAAGCTTTACTTTGTCATATATCTAACCATTTCATAAGAACAGCATTCCAAAATCCTTCTTTCCAACTATAATAAGGATGCTATCGTAAAGGTCAGAAGTATTTGTGTAATATTGACAAGTATCTGAGCTTTGGTCCTAATAATAAGTGTCCATCAAAGGTCTAGGACGAAGAAAACCATCCAAGTGTAGCTATGGAATTTTAACTAAAGCAAATATAGCCCCACCCTTGACAAGAGGAATTCGGACCAAAGAAGACGAGAGGTCAGCAATGATTCTCATGTGAAAAGAATTAGTCGATTAGAGGTTATAAATAACTGAAAATATTTTTGGGGGCAATAAACCTCCTTCAAAGCATGTCTCTCCAACCAATGCAACATACCCAGAGAATTTTGCTCTGATTAATTGTGAACAGAAGAAAGAAACATGATCACTGTGGCCTCTTATGAGCAACAATTGGTCAATCAAGATAACAACAAAACCAAGATAAATATCAACTTTGAAGTTGACCCTGCTTTTATTTGACTAGATAAACCCTTGACGGATGAATAGCCAACAGCATTCACACGCTAGTATAGATAAGTACCTCTTTCTGCCGAGCCTCTAAAAGAGCAGCTTCTTTTTCTCTCTCAAGTTGTTCTGCAACCTCAACAAAAAGTTTCTTCCTACCTTCCTCTATACGCCTCTCTATTTCATGATTGATCTCCTCAGTATTTAGGCTCTCTTCAACCCTCTTACGAATTTCTTGTGCTACTCTCTTCGCAGTTTCTTCTTCTATTAATTTTAGTTCTAACTCCTCTCGAAGCCTGGAAATACAGTAGAATATGTCAAAAAAAAGAAGAAAAAAAAAAGTAAAAGAAAACTTTTTTTTCTTAAAAAAAAGGAACAACCATTGACGCAATAAAGGAGGCAGGCATCAACTGAAACAAAGGGTTTTCAAGAGAAAACTATGATACTCAATTTATTTGACTCCAAAAATCTGGAAGAAAATATAAACACATCAACATCGGACTTACAAGTTCAGCAAACTCATAGCTAAAATGAACGACAAACTAACCTCCATCATGGAAAACGAACTACAACAGATATGCTAACTTTAAAAGCATACCTCTAAACGATTCCTGATCCAAAATATTTCAATTTCAAATCTGGTCAACAGTAGTTTAACGGGCACCCAATTGGACCATCAAAACAAACAAATCAGACACTTCCTTCAATTAATCCTGTGGAGAAAAGCGTCAAGTACATGCAGCATTTTTAAATGCTAACTGCTCAAATACTTCAGCCTCTACAGTAGACATGTTAACGAAGCAAACTGCAGATTCTGTTGATATACATAGAAATATATGTTGCAGAACTGTTCAGTAAGACCAACATGAAAACACATTTTATTTTAAGAATGGCAAACCAATCCAGCATCCCGTGATATTCACTTCAAGAAATACCATCAACATATTCAACTGAAAAGGTAAATCTAGAATGTGCCTTTTTACATGCACATAAATAAGCAAACTGCAAAATGTAAACCAAACTAAACTTCTTCCCCAACAGCATGTCTCAAAATCAATCAAGATCAATCAAATGGATCTGATGCTAAAGCAGAGGCCATGTCAGCAATCATCGCACATTCCACATAACTTGACTACCTGAGTAACTACTTTCTCAAAGACAGTTAATTACTTTTCCACAAATGATAAAACATGGTGAACCATGAAAGAACAGCACACCCATACCACATTCCATTCAACATCTAAAATGATGATGATGATGAAGATGATGATGCAATAATAATAATGTGGATTTCAGATAAGATCGTAAAAAATGCAGAAAGCGTAGGCAACCTTAGACAGGTTTCTGACATAATTAACAAAAAGGTAAATAATGTGGTCTGGTTTTTCCTCTAAATATTTGATATTGTCAAGTACAAATAAGCATCCTTGTCAACCAACCAGAGTTCCGCTTAGAAAAATATAGGTTAGAGCTAAATATCATAAGTATATTCAGTGCTCACAGAGAAATTTTTGCCAACAGAAAAAAAAAATAAAAATAAAAAATAATTCTAATTACATTCATGGTCAAGAAAATGTAGATGAAAAGAAACAGGCCCAAAACAAGTCATCTGCTCTGTAACCTTGTGGTTTAGTGTCTATACGCCAAAAACAGCTAGCACAGCTCAAATTACGCCAAACCAACATTAAACCAATCTGTAAAAAGAGAAGGAAAAGAAAGGGGTGGGGTGGGGGAATTGGGAAAGAAATAATGGATGGAAGGATCAGAAAGAATGCCCTGCAAGATGTTGGGGTGGGGGAATTGGGAAAGAAATAATGGATGGAAGGATCAGAAAGAATGCCCTGCAAGTATCAACATCCAGCTAGGTTACTTCCTTAACAAGATCATCTACTATTCCTTAACAAGATCATCTACTATTCCAGGGTTCTTTAGTTCAAACATCTGCTACACAAGCAACATATCATCAGATGAAATGCTAGTCAGCAGGCTAAATGTAAACAAATTTATGCCATCACTAGTCCCAACATATCCATCTCCAGAGTGAACCTAGTAACTATTAGTGTATTACAGTTTTTATCATTTATACTCAACAAGTCCATATGCAAATGGACAGTCATAAAGGAGGAAACCGATGAACAATTGGACAAAGGTAAATCAACTCATGTGAAGAGGAAAAAGAAGATGCATAAATTGCACAAATTATACCTTTTCTTTTCCTCAGCCTCTTTTCTTATTTTTTCAGTGGCATCTCTGTCGTCCTTTGTACCAGTGCGTTTACTTGGAGACAAACTTAAGGGTGAAGATGAATTGCTCCTTTTCCTCTGTCTCTTGTTCCTTTTCGGTGTGAAAGAGCGGCTTTTACGACGTCTTAGACTGGGTGAGCGACTTTTACGATGTCTCAGACTGGGGGAGCGACTTTTCCAGAGCCGAGAAGATGATGAACGACTTCGTCTTCTGTAGAATACAATAAAACATATTAACTTTAGGAGAAAATATTTGGTACTACAACGTCCACAGCCTAGAATCGTCCGAGCCCACCATCAGTTCCAAAGCATGTACAGTTACCTCATATTTTGCAAAGAATAAACTGCGTGCTCCATCTTTTATCATAAGAAACCGCTAATATCGAGCAGTGAAATGGCACCCATCGGCACCCATGACCTGCCGACTTTCCCAATCAAAGGCAAGCTAAATTTTCTTTCTTAAAATTTCTCCACCACCAATGATATTGCCATTTTTATTCACCACTATAATCAAGTGGTGAAATGACACTCATAGTCACCCATGACCTGCCGACTTCCCAATAAAAGGGAAACCAATTTTTCTTTCTAAAAATTCTTAAACATTAAAGATATTGAATGTTCATTCACCACTACGTTTTTTGAATGAGATACATCTCAAACCCTAGTACAGTTACGTAAAGAAAAACTCTCAGTGTCGATATGCACAAATAAAAGGTATGACACATTATTAACCGAACAACCATAAGCATGTCGAATATAAAAGTGTTGATGGGAAGCAAAAACTCTCATAGGCAGCGACATGGCACTAGGAAAACAAAGTAAAAAATCCATTAGCATCTGCTATATCATCTAAAACAAAAAAACCAACATAATGAGCAATTATAGTTTTCAACATATGCAACAACTATGTGCGATCAGGAAGAAAATTGCTAAGAAAATAGATCCAACAGAAACTAGAAGCATTATACTTAATATAGAATACATCAAACAAAAAGTTCTACAGCAGACTAATGAGTTTTAAATATCAGCAACTAAACTCAAATCATTGTTTCAAAAAGTATTTATTCCAGCCCAGAAACAACATTGAACTTAATCTCGCTCAAATTCAAGAATGACTCAATCAGTTATTCTTATGAAGCCTCTCACTCTGCTTTTCTATATGACAATTTATTTTCTAGTGGTAATAATGATTGAAAGCATGCTTTAGTTCCCAATTAATTAACGTAAGACAAAGTAAAACAAAGTGAACATGTTATAGAAACTGCTGGTTCAGAAAATCACTTTATGCTGGTTTCATCAGAAAGCTATGCGTTGACCAAGCACATTTATCTTACAACTCTTGAAGAAAAGCTCTACATACATACAAAAGCAAAACTACAAGACACACCCAGCACGGACACTTAGTTATCCCGATTACATTTACCATAATCAAAATCCCATCTAAACCATTATCATGGTTCTGTCCCATAAATCAGAAAAGCAAATTTAAACTCACTCCTACTTATGACTAACCATGAGCAAGTAATATGAAGAAACAATCCTTTCAAACAAAACAGACCCACAAATGCATATGGGTGCCGCGTAATACACAAGCAAGTACAAGTCAAAGGGTATCACCTGCTATAGGAATGAGGGGATCGGCTCCTATTTCTCCGGCTCCGGCGCCCATACCTCACCGGAGACGGTGATGGGGAGCATCTCCTCCGGTACGACGGCGACCGAGAAATATCCCTGTCTCTGTCTCTACCCATCCCAACTAATTCCAATATTACAAATGTAAATCTGCCACCTGCTGCGCCAAACGCGTTAAAATCAACAAGAAATTCGAAATCCCATATGAAATCAGCGAGCTATAGACTATTAATTCGTCAATCGTTTGATAAATTAATAAACCGCGTTAATTCAATCAAGAATGATGAAGCCAGATTGGCGACCTTTCGATAAACAGAGGATTAGAGGTCAGTGATTTGTGTGGTCAGAATGAAGACGTTATAATATAAACCCTAGTTTGCAAAGTGCAGATGAATAAGAGAAGAGAACAATAGGTCATAATAATATCTGGAATTTGGACTTTGTAAGGACATGGTGTTGTTATTTGTCGCCCCAAATTACTAATTGTCGCCCAAAAAAAAAATTAAAAAATTATAAATTTACAAAAATATCTCTGTGGTAAAAAAAAATTAATGGAAAAAAATGCATTCAAACGTCTATCAACTAAGCCCGGAATCCAAAGAAACGTCTAGAAGCTAAGCTTGACAGCCAAAGAAACGTCCAACAAAGAAGCCCGACTGTGAAGACAAAAGTCTAAGGGCTAAGCTTGAAAGCCAAGTAAACGTCTACGAAGCCCGACTCTGAAGAGAAACGTCTAAATGAGAAGGGGCAACACATTTAAAACTTTTACATGGCAAGCTTATTATGCCACTAAACGTCTAAATGGAAAGCTTGAGACCATGCGAAACGTCCAGAGGCTAAGCTTGTAAGGCAGGCAAACGTTCAACATGGAAGCTCCACTGTGTAAACAAACATCCACAAACTAAGCTTATAAGGTAGGCAAACGTCTAACATGGAAGCTTCCTTGTGAAAACAAACGTCCAGTAACAAAGCTTGAAAGTCAAGTAAACATCTAACTGGAAAGCCCGACTCTGAAGAGAAACTTTTAAATGAGAAGGGGCAACACATTTAAAACTTTTAAATTGGAAGCTTATTATGCTGCTAAACGTCTAACAGAAAAGCTTGAGGCCAAGTGAAACTTCCAAAAGTTAAGCTCTAAAGCATACTAAACGTCCTACATTATAGCTCACCTATGAAAGCAAACGTCTAGAAGCTATGCTTGAAAGCCAGACAAACGTCCAAAATCGAAGATCGGCAGTGAAAGAGCAAACGTCCAAAAGTAAAGCTCCGAAGTAGAAGAAACGTTTAGAAGTGAAGCTTGTGGTCCTAACAAACGTCCAACTGCTAAGCTTTGAAGCAAAGCAAACGTCCCAGATAAAGCTCCACAAAAGCTTATTTCGTGGAGCTTTGTTTGTTGGCTGCTGAAATTTGTAGGCGGGTGATTGTTTTGATTAGGGTTTTTTTATACGACTCAAACGAATGGGCCTGAATGGTGGGCTTGATATTCACATAAGTGTAGTGAGCTTGCCAAGGGCCGCGAAATTTACGTGATTATTTTAACCCCTACTTATCATACTCCAATTTGATGGTATGGTAAAATTAGGTGTACATAACACTCACATGGAGTGGGGTATACTTGATTTTTTATTTTTGGTGGATCCCACTCAAGGTGAGTGTTATGACACCCTATGTACAATATTATGTACCTATAACATTTCTCTTATAATATACAATTATTTTTAATATAATTATAATAATAAAATCGTAATCATATTTATTAATGACAAAATATTTTTTTAATAGAATCATATTTAATCATATTTGAATAGAATCGTAATTTTTTATTAGTTTATAGATCATTCTCATAGTTATGAATGGATCTCACTTAGGCCATTAGTCCAACAGAAAAGACCTCGTTCTTTAGTGAATCAAAGTAGAAGTGTATATTTTTTAGCGAATCAAAGTAGATATATTGTATGCACGTTCATTTTTATATTTTACGGGTTTAGAGTACTAATCATGACCATGGATCGGCCCGGCCCGCCAATTCGACCCGAACTGGCCCAGAACCGAGCTTGTAGTTTGACTAGGTCGGTTTTGGGCCTCATGTAGTTTGACCCGAACCGACCCAGAACCGTTGTGGAAATGGCGAGTCAGGTAGAAATTGAACCCAGACTCGAACCGCTGAATCGAATTTAAAAAATAAAAAATAAAAAAATCTAGCAGTTGAATCTTCAACGAAAAGCTTTTAATGACCCAGATTAGCGAGTTGCCAACGGTCTAATACCAGGCCACGACCCGGCTTGACCCGGTCATCAGACCGGACCATGGCCATGACTAGTACTCTAAACCCGTAAGATGTAAACATGAACGTGCACACAATACATCTACTTTGATTCACTAAAAAATATGCACATCTACTTTGATTCACTAAAAAATGAGGTTATTTCTATTGGACTAATAGTCTAAGTGAGATCAATTCACAAGTATGAGAATTGTTTGTAAACTAATAAAAAATTACGATTCTATTAAAATATGATTCTATTAAAAAAATATTTTGTCATTATTAGATATGATTACGATGTTATTATTAAAATTATATTAAAAATAAGTGTATATTATAAAATAACAATTCTATATCCTTTTAAAGATTTGTTGCATGGGTTGATGTTATGTTGATTATTGTAAGATATTTGAGAAAGTAGTGGGGGGATATGTGGAAAAAATCAAATTATTGAGGAAACATTCACGTTGGACGTTTCTGGATACATTAAGCTTTCCTTAAAGAAGATTGTTGTTGTCCTAAGCTTAACTATCAGACGTACCATAGGGACTTAAGCTTCATGTTGGGACATTTATTTGACTTCCACCCTTAGTTCCATGTTAGACGTTTGCTTGGCTACCAAGCATAGTTTTTGGACGTTTGCTTTCATAGGCAAGCTTCAATAAAAAAACGTTTAGTATGCTATAAAGCTTAACTCTTGGACGTTTCACATGACCTCAAGCTTTCCAGTTAGATGATTACGCGACTTCCAAGCTTTGCTACTGGACGTTTGTTTTCACAGTGAAGCTTCCATGTTAGACGTTTGCCTACCTTATAAGCTTAGCTTCTGGACGTTTGTTTACATAGTAGAGCTTCCATGTTGGCCGTTTGCCTTCCTTACAAGCTTAGCTTCTAGACGTTTTACATTGCCTCAAGCTTACCATTTAGACGTTTAGCGGCATAATAAGCTTGCAATGTAAAAGTTTTAAATGTGTTGCCCCTTTTCATTTTGACGTTTCTCTTCAGAGTCGGGCTTCGTAAATGAACGTTTTCTTGGCTTCCAAGCATAGCCCTTAGACGTTTGTCTTCACAGTCGGGCTTCTTTGATGGACGTTTCTTTGGCTGCCAAGCTTAGCTTCTAGGCGTTTCTTTGGCTTCCAGGCTTAGTTAATAGACGTTTGAATGCATTTTTTTCAACTAACTTTTTTTTACCACAAGGATATTTTTGTAAATTTATTATTTTTTATTATTTTTTTCAGGCGACAAGTAGTAATTTGGGGCGACAAATAGCAATCCTGTTGCAAAACTCAACTATAGTTAATTTTATATCGTTTTGAAAAAAAAAATAGTTAATTTAAAAAATGGTGGTATGGTGAGTTATTAGTGAATATATTAAAATAATATTTAAATAAATAATTAAAGTTGTTTGATATAAAGTATGAGAAAAATAATTGGAAGTAATAGTTAGTTAGATTTATGTGAGTGGATGAATAATAAATTAAATGTGATGTGATGTGTAATAAATGATTGATTGATATTATTTAATTATATTGATAATATTGAGAATAGTGTGGTTTAGTTAAACTTGAGTTAAATTTGAGTTTTGGTTAGTTTTTTTTTTTTTTTTTTATTATTCAATTTATATACAATCGCCCGCCAAAAAAATGTGTTTCTCGTACAAATAATAGTTATTTTCACCCTTTCTTAAGACAAAATCGAGTATCGGGGATGCGACCAAAACCGTTGGCTCCAGACCGTAATATATTTTACATGTTGTAAAATAAAAAGTTTACTTTTTCACCTCATAAAATCTCACTCCGGTGATGGAGAGAGATCCTGAGCTGAAACCCCATATTCCTCTTAAACAACTAGAACATTTTACTTGTAGCTTCAAACTTAAATATACCATCAAACTAAGCCGACAGCAGCTCAGTCGTTGAGGCAACTCTAAGCCAAAGAGACAATACAAAGAGTGAGTTAACGTAGTCTTTGAATGGGCTCTCCATACCATTTGCCCTCATTTTAGGGTAAACAAAGGTGCGGTAGACGGAGATCTGATATGATAGTTGTTTGGACAACAAGCAAACCAACCATAATTATTAATAGAAGGAAGAAAGCTCACAATTGAACCTGCTATTTGACGTCCTCTAACGGAGCGGGTACAACCGAACCTCCTAAACTTGAATAGCAGTTCTTGACGGCAGTCCCTTACCTTGATGCGTACAGCTCAATTTGTTTTCCAGTGATGGTCGTTCGCCCCTCTCCTTTCAATCGAGATTCTTTTGTCTATAAGTTTGCTTGTGTTCCTTAGGTTAGGATAGAGCTAATACGCAGCAAAGAGGACGGTGCGAATAAAATTGATAAAATGCGAAACAATTGTGCCATAAGCCATATGACATACAACGAAAATAATTAATAAACTGTGAAACAATTATGCGATCAGCGATGTGACAAATTAGCGACCATAATTGATAAAGTGAAAATATTTATGCGATAAACTATGTGACAAACAGACGAACATAATTGATAAAGTGTGAAATTATGCAACAGACAGACCGAAGATAACTGATAAAGTTGGAAATAGTTATGCGATAAATTATGCGACAAATAGACGAACGTAATTTATAAAGTGCGACAATTATGCGATACAATATGCCACAGACAGACGAAGATAATTTACTCGAAAGTCTATGCAACAGGCCGAAGATAATTGACAAAGTGTGAAATAGTTATGTAATAAACTATGCGTATACACGCGAACATAATTGATAAAGTGCGAAACAATTATGCAATAAACTATGAAACATACAGATGAAGAAAATTATTGCAAAAAGCAATGCGATAAACAAATGAAGATAAAGTGCGAAAACATTATTC